GACATAAGGGTGCCTGTTCTGGCCAGGGCCCAGTGAGTGGCTTTGTGTTGTTGGGGTGTCAGATGAGTGTGGTATGGAGGGGCCGCAGCAGGAGGCTTATGAGAGGGGCACGTGCCAACTACCCAGGACCCTGACAGTGGGACTGAGGAGTTGAAGGCTGGTTGGCAAATTTGAAAGATAGATTGACAAGATCAGGATTGATTTTGGGAAACATGGCTATGGCTGCCGTTTTGCTGGAGAGGGGGCAGGAAGGCAGTAGAGAGATGAGTTAGGAGGCAGGTGCCATAGTCAAGCAAGATGAAGGTGTCTTGATCCAGGGTGGGGGCATTGGGAGTGGCCAGAAAGGGCAGAGTCAAGCACTGTCTCAGAGGCAGAACTGAAGACAGAGATGCAGAGGTAACCAGGAAGTTTCTAGCTTGGGCTCATCTGTGCCCAAGACCTTAGCCAAGTGGAGAGCAGGCACCTATGTTTTGTAAATGGGTCTCTTTCTCCCCTCCTGTGTTTATTTTTGTTTCCTTCTAAAGTTCATTTCAGAAAATTCTGATCCGGTTGGAGCTGAGCTGAAAGGAAGAGAGATTTTCCATGCCTGTCAGAGCCCTGGCTTCCTGGGGCCTCCTAGTGCGCAGGTGTGACTGGTGACAACACCAGCCGAGAATTGATGCACACAGCTGAGAAGAGCTAGTGCTGCTGGAGCCCATGAGAAGGCTAGGCATGGCTTGGCGTGTCAGGTGGAGAGTTGAGAGTAGTTTGGTCAGGATCATGGAATGGGGGGGGCATGGGGCACAAAAAGCTAGAAATGAGCAAATCCTATCTGATGCCTGTTTAGAAGGAGACTGCTCCCTTCCCAGGCCAATGTCCTGAAGTTCTGGGTACCTCTGGCCTCTCTGGATTTCACACTCCTAGACCCCATTGAGGGATGCCAGAGGGAAGGATCTCAGAGCCCACAGTAAACAACCTGTTATGGGGGCGGGGATGGGGACATTGGGAGGCTGTGTGGTGGTTTGAAGAGGCAATGGGCTGGAAGTCAGAAGAGCTGGGTGAGGGCCAGGCCCTGTGAACTCTCTATGTGACTGTGGGCAGTTCCTTTTTCCTCTCCCTGGGCCTCAGTTTTCCCATCCATCCAACAAGGGGGTTGGACTAGAAGGTCTATAAAGGCCCTAACAGCTTGAAAGATTCTATTCTCTTCTCTGAATCTGCCCAGGGGGAGGCCTTGGGGGCTGAGGCACTGGCAGGGGCTGAGAATTCCATAGAAATTTGCATGTGAAAGCATGTTACTGCCATGGCTATTAGTGTGTGCAGGGGGGCTGAAGACAGGGCAAGGACAGCTAACTGTCAGGCTGGCCTCAAAGGCCTGGCTGCATAGGTGGGGGAGGGAGGGAGAGGAAGGGTGGAACACGCCTTGGAGGTTTAGGCAGGAGGCTGAGCTTTTCTTTTTTTTTTTTTATATATTTTTTTTTTCTTTCTTTCTTTTTTTTTTTTTTAAGCAGGAGAGAGCTGCCATGGGTTTGAGGTGCCCAGTTCTGGGTCTAGGCCATGAACCAGGAGGTCTGGCCCTTACAGATACCTCCAAGCTCTTGTGCTTGACTTCAGAGCTGTGTGAGGTGCCACAGGAGAGGGAACCCCAGGGATGGGGGATGAACTGCTAGTACGTTTTCCAGGCCTGTGCCTAAACCTTCCAGGACCATTTTCCTCAGGGTTATGTGTCCTTTTGGTAATTGCCTTGTGTAAACTTACGTAGTTTGTCAATATAAATACTATGTGTGTATAGTATTGTCAATATAAAGAATATATATGTATATATGTGTATATATTTGTGTGTGTATATATGTTTAGTTCATGCACTCACACAGACTCCTGGGGATTCTGGGAGAACAATACAACAGCATATAGGAAGGACACTCAGCTGTAGTCTGTGAGGCAAGGGAGCTGGCTCTAGGGACTAACCTGTCACCAATTCCTGTGTGCCCTTGAGTAAGTCCCTTCCCTACCCTTCCAGTTTCGTGGTTCAGTTCCCCCAGGAGGGGAAAGAAGCTCTCAGGAACATTCTCACTCTATCAGTTTCTGGCCTCTGTCTTCTCAGGTTCCACTGAACAGGCATGAGGGCAGCCAGGGAGGGAGGCCACCAGTCTGTGCCTCTGCTCAGCAGAATCCAGCTTGTGTGCAGTCCCTGGCACAGGGCACTTCTAGTCCCCTGGATCAACTGAAGGAGCCTCCTGGAGCCTTTCCCTAGGGAAATACTTAAGAGAATGGAGGACACTCCTCTCTCAGAAGCCAGTTCCCCTCACCCATTGCCTCTGTGGAGGCTGGAAGAGACCAGACCAAAGAGCCACAGGGGTAGGCAGGGACTAAGGACACCTCTTCTAGTTTGGCTTTAGGAACCATTTATCATGGGTACATTCTGCCAAACTGCAGCCCAGGTACCTGGGATTAGGGTTGGGAAAGGCAGCAGGGGATTGGAGCATCAGGATAATTTCTCATAAGGATGTTTAGGAGCCTGACAAAACGCCAGCTTTGGTCAGTGATGATGAGAACATTTGGGGCTTAGGGTCCACTCCCAAAGTAAGAAGGGTGCCTGGGAAGCCCAGCCCCAGAGCTCAATTGCCCACTCTATATACCTCACTGGAGAAACAACAGCTACCATCTTATCAGTGCTTACCACATGCCAGGCATACATTGTTCAGAAAAACATATGGATAAATCAATGCGTGAAAGGCTAACTTTAGGTCCCACATTTTTAATCTGTGTCCCTTTCATTCTGCTTCTCCCATTCATTCCCACAACCTGTCACCACACATGCAGTTAAGAGCTAGCCAGGCACTTAGAGGCCTTTCTTGAATGTGAGGTCACTGGGAGCAAGGACCTTATCTCTCTTGTTTTTCACTGGACCCCATAACTAATCTACCAACTAGCATCTTACAGGTACTCAGTAAATATTTTCTGAATAAAATGAAGAAATTGTGTACCACTCATTATCCAGACAGGGAAACTGAGGCACAAAGGGCAGGAATCTGCCTGTCCCTGTTCAAAAAGTCGTAACATAGCTATCATGGGCCTTCAAGTCTCCAGCCTGATGGCCTGGGTTCTGGCACTGCAATAAAGTGCCCTCAGCAAACTGCCCCCCCCCGCCGCCCCATCCCATATCCCATCACACATTCCTTATTCCCCACCCCCAGATTTACCTCTTTCCTTTCTCTTTGCCAGCTCAATAATTAACCATTGGAAACAGAACCTATAAATACTGTCTCCCCTGTTCCCTTAGGTTGCTTTCAACTTGGGCTCTGACACCCCTTTCCTGGATAGGAGCTGCCCCCCCCCCTTTCAGCAGCCTTCCAAACAAGTACCTAAACAAGTACCAGCTGGGGCTGCAGCGCCCCCCTCCCCCAACCCCAGATCTTATGGCCAGCTGTAATAGAAGGCCAGCAGCAGACGGGTGAGGAGGGTCCCCACACAGGCTAGGACTGACTCAGCTGGGGTGTCAGTGGGACTGTGACATGCCCAGGCAGGACAGGAGGCCAGACAGGCAGGCAAGCAGTCCAGATTTCTGAGAGTGAGTGATGCCAGGTGGCCAGAGGGCCTCTTGCTCAGCGGGACCAACCTAGGATCGTCTCAGTCAAATCTGAGTTTCCCCTTTAAATCTACCCATTCTCCTGCCCCTACCTAGAGGGTGCCAGGCCATCCATGTCACTTGTGCCTCAGAGAGGACTCTTGGAAACTTAAAATGATTCAGTGCAGTAAATCACTAGAGCCCTGGCCTTCCAGCTTCACAAAGTTTGTCCATTCAGGGAAACTGAGGCTTGGTTCACACCTGCCCAGCTTGGCTTCGTTGGTTATCTGGGCTCCACCTGCAGAGGAAGCCAGGCAGCCCCACCCTCACCTGGGAAGCATCCTCTATCCCTGACTCACCAGGAGTTGGGCCCAGCTGGGACAGGAAGGAGAGCTGAGGGTGGGGCAGGTCTGGGGCCCTACCATGGGAGGCTCACACCTCCTGCCTCCAGCAAGCTGAGCTTGGTTCCTCCCTGACCTAGACAGACGGGAAGGGAATGTGAGGAGGGCTCCTGTTCTTCAAGATCCCCAAGGAAGTACATTTGCTCAGTCTCACCAGAGATCAGAGATGGAGTGAGGAGTGGGGGAGTGGGGTGAAGGAGAGTCCCCTTCAAGGAGCTTCTCCTATCTGCTCATGGGGAAGTGAAAGGCCTGGCCTTGAATCCCCATGTTCCCATCCACTTGTGTGTTCTTCGGTTAGTGGTCACTGCCCCCGGTAAGGTCTGTTTCATCATCTCAAATATGAGGCAAATGATTCCCCACCTTTTACCCTCACAAGGAAGAGGGTACATGAGACTCAATGAGACTACATGTGGAAGTGTTCAAAACAAGTGGCAGGAATTATCCAGGTGAGGGACACACTGCCGCAGGAGCTACTAAGCACTGCTGGGTACCAGGCACTGAGCTCGAAGCAGCGTCAGTCTTGGTGCCCAGGCCTGGGCCAGTGGAAACAAGCAGTCCTAAAATTTCTGGGTTGTTGAGACTGCCTGATACTTTCCTTTGCTCTCTCCCACATATTTTACCTCACACTCCCACTGCTAGTCCCAAGGGGACCCCAAGAACTCAATCCCCTATGGGTTAGGTAGGCTGGTATCCTGAGATAGATGGGGGACCACCCAAGGACACATGGTTGGAGAAATGGAGGAAGGGCACACCTAACCCAGGTCAGGCTCCATCTCAGTTAGGGACATCAATCTGGCCTGAACTAACTCTGGTCAAAGACCCCCCACTCAAGGAGGGGGCGGAGAGGGGGGGCAACTCTGGGTAGGCAGTCAAGTAGCAGAGGCCCCATCTCCCATCTGATCCAGGCACTTCGTCAGGTTAATGAGAAACCAAATAAACAGCCTCTGCCCCAGCTGGCTGTGGGAGCACCCCAGCCAGGCCCAGCCCTGCTCCAGCCCAGCTTCCTTTCCCTCCACCCTGTAGGTCCCAAGGCTCTCCCTCCCCCTTCCTTCTTATGTCCCATTTCCCTCAGTCTTGCCTGCTCCTTGGCTGGTTCACTGGGGCTTCCTGCTGTGGATCACTAGTTAGTCCTCCCCTTCCTTCCTCCTCCTCCTCCTTTCCTCTAGTGCCTTCTTACCCATTTTGAGTTGCTGGGATCTTACTCATCCTCCTCTCTTGATTTCGATCTTAGCCACCTCCACAGGGAGTCCCCCCACAAGGCCCACAGGTGACTCCAGGCTGGCACAGAAAGGTCCCAGGCCCTGCCAGTACGTGTCTCTGCTGGGGGTTGAGGCCAAAAGATCTTTGGGACCCTCATTACCCTCACTGATCCAAGCAAGTTAAGCCTCAGCCTGTGGGTGGTGCTCAGCACTGCTTTAGGTTGAGGAATTCAACTGTCAGCCAGGAGCCCCCAAGTACACTGTGGTGAGGCCATGGCATGGCCTGGCTCTGAAGCCAGAAGGAAGAATCTTCAGGCCAAGCAGTAAGCAGCCAGCCTGAAGCTGCCTCATTACTTGGTGGGCTGCATCTGAGGCCCAGGCCCTGGGAAGATTTCTCTCTGCCCTCAGGCATCCTGAGGCAGGGCAGGACTGGGCTGGGCCTGCCAGCAGGTCCTATATCTAGCTCCAGTCAGGCGGTGGCAGTACTTGTGGACACACCCAGGTGGCCACAGGAACACCCCCTTCCCCATCGACCCTCTCTAGCTGAACCTAATGCCAGACTGGGAAGATACCCATGGCCTTTGCCGCAGAGGTAACAGGATGGAGGGGGGTAATGGTTGCAACACCAACATAACAAGAGGGCAGGGAAACTGAGGGGGGGGGCAGGAGGGCCACAGAGCAGCTGAGACATCATACTCCACTAGGACTGCCACCTTCTCCCCTCCCAGACCTGCACAGGACACCTGTGATTTGGCCATAGGAAATCACACACACACACATTCTATCTCCTTTCTTTCTCTCTCTTCTGCTCTCTCATACTCACTCAAACACTCACACTTCATCCCCCAACATCATGACACCATTTTACACCCATTTCTCCATGTGGTTAAATTTTTTTTTTTTTTAGTTCTCATTTTTTTCTAAGAAAAAAGCAACAAGAAAATAATTCAGAGTTTATACAAAACATCTTTACATTATTTTTTTTTTCCAAAAAGACTAGTATTTACACAAATGGGAAACTGAAACAAAAACAAAAAACCTTTCCGACTGCCACCTGGAAGGGGCTAGCTGTTTGGCTCCCTCTCCCACCAGGCACTGGGGTGGGCGGCTGGCCAGGAGGCAGTGTGGAGGTGGATGGTGGAAGGCCCAGCCCCTTTCTTGGCCATGCTGGGAGCCCCTGCAAGGCGCACTCATGTGCCAGTCTGTTAGCAGCCGTGCTGGCAAGGAGCCGGGGTCAAAGTGCACGGCGTGCTGGCCCAGCCGGGGGTAGATTCTTCCTCTTTCCAGGCCCCAGTCCAAAATTGGGGGTGAGCAGGAGCTGGGTTGGGGAATCACCCACCTGACCTAGAGCCTAGGAAAGGAGCAGGCCACCAGGCCTTATACCCGCTTAGGTCTCTGCCCTGGGCCTGTTTCCCCACCAGGCTGAAAGATGCCCAAGGTGAGAAGAGAACAGGGCGATGGGGGAGGGGGGAATGGAAAGGGGAACTCCCAGCTCTGCAGGGCAAATAGCCACCTGGGCACCTCACCTCTCTCCACCCCCCATGAGGTCATCTGCCTGCAGCAGCTCTCCTGTTCCCCAGGCAACAGCCAATTAAGACATTAATTACCGTGAGAGTGAGGGAGGCGGGAGATGCCCAAGAATCCCACAAGGAAGGAATTTTTTTTTTTTTTTGGTGGAAGGGTGGCAGCCACTACCCCATTGCCAAGCTCAGCTTTGCAGAACGAGGGTCAGGAGGGGAGGGTGGCACTCTCATCTTTCCTCATGGGCAAGAACAACCCAGGCCTGTCCCCTTCCTACCCCCAGACATGGAGGAATTTATCAAAGAAACGCCATCCTATGCTTCCTGGCTGGCCACATCCTGCCCCAGGCCCCTTAGAGTGGGCTTGGCCCGGCTCAAAAGGCCTGGGGAGGGGTTGTCTTTTGCATTTTTCCAATTTTCTTCAAAAAATAGATGAAAATGAGTTGACAGCTAAAAAATGAACACAAAAAACATTAAAAACAGTGATGATAGTGGACATGTAGTCCTGGGAGGGGGGAAAGGGGGTGAGAATGGACAGGGCCAGGGTGGGGGGTTATCTCCCCACCTGCGTCCAACCCTGCCCAATAAAAGGGGCGCCCCCACAGAGCCCAGAAGCCTGGCCAGAGGGGGAAGGCACAAGAGCATGGGGGTGGGGGCACAAGCACCCCATCTGAAGCCCAGAGGGCAGGGTAAAAAGGGACTTATAAAAGCCAAGAAACTACAAAACTAAATACAAAGGTGGGCACAGCTGGCGAGGGGAGAGAGAAGTGCAGTCCAGACTGACTGTCCCTTGGGCCTGAGGCTGCCAGGCTCTCAGACTTTGTAGTAGATGTTCGCTGGGCTCTGGGGTGGCATCTCCTGGACGATGTAGACGGGATGCCCGTAGTCCCCACTCACCTTCTCATAGTGGGGGCAGTAGTTGTTTTCTGTAGTCCGTAAGGGGATGATGATGTCGCTGGGCTCAGTGCCCGCAGTGCCACTGCCCCCCTTGGGACTGGCCAGGGTACTGAGCGAGAGGGCAGGTGCCCGCTGCTGCGTGTGCTTGCGGTGCCGCTTGCGTAGCTTTAGTAGCAGAATCGTCAGGAAGATGATGATGAGCAGGAAGATGACGCAGCCTGCACCCACAGCTGCAAATAATGCCACCTTGGAGTTGAAGAAGCTGTCTGGGTCGCTGTTGCTGCCGCCTCCACTTGGGCCGCTCTTATCTTCTTGGTTCACAGTCTCTGGAGAAGGGAGAGGGAGGGCAGGGACGGTTAGCCACAAATCCCAGCGACACATGGCCAACCTGGGTCCTGTCCTTTTTTTCAGAGACAGGCCCCGAAGGGCAGTCAAACCATGGCTTCTGGTCTCTAGACACCTGTAACTCACCATGTTTGCCGTCAGAGTCCACATCGCCAGGGGACAGTGTGGCTATCTTGATAGTGTTGTCTGTCTCCTTGCTGGGCCGGCTGGTGGTCAGTTGCTCAGGTGTCACAGCATTGGGGTCTGGGATGGGAGACCACAAGTGAGGGGAAAGGACTCTGCCCACGTGTGTGCCCCCGTCATCTGGGGTGGGCCGAGAATAGCCTGTAGGCTGCACCTCATATACCATGACCCTACTGCCCCTATGTGCCTCCCAACACTCATATACCCAAGGGGGAATGTCTGTTGCAAATGTCCAACTGGGGCCCCCAACTGGGCACTCACCTTGCCCAACCTTCATGACGATCTTCATGGTGCGTGTGCGGCACACACCTCCCTCCCGGTTCTCCAGTCCCTCGAGGCTCCCATTGGATGTGGCTGCAGCAAGAGGCCAGAGAAGTCAGGGCAAAATGGAAAGGTCAGCCAGCATTACCTAGAAACTCTAGTGCTGCCTTAGCCCAGAAGGACAGAACTGGGAGTCAAGGAATCCCCACTCCCTGAGAACTTCCCATTAGGTACTGAGTAGACCAGCCCAGCCCAGACCAGAAATTAGTCCTCCCCCAAGGTCACTCATCCTGTATCACAACCAGGCCCTGGTCCTTCTTTCTCAGTAGATACTAAGTTGTATCTTCTCATTGGCTGACACTGTTCAGAGGCAAAGCAATTAGAATTGGCATTGTGAGGGGGACATGGACACAGAGTGGAAAGAATCCTAGATTAGGGGGTCAGGAGTCCAATCCTATCCCTAAATTCTCAGATGATCTAGAACAAGAAGCCTGTTCACCTCTTGGGGCCGCAGTTTCCCATGAAGAGAAAGGCTAAATGGCTGGTTGTTCCCCAAGGGCTCTGCCAACTCTGTCATTCCCAAGAGCCGATCTTAGCTGGGTAAAGAGAATCAGAGAGCAGTGAAAAGTGAAGTCCTCTCCCATCGACTCCTAGAGCCAAGGTAAGCTGGCAGTGGGGCCCTTGGTGAATATTGGGATTGGAACTCCTAAGCTGGGTGAAGAGAGCACACCAGTCTTCAGAGGGGACCAGAGCAGGCAGGGCCTTCACCGTGTGCAGTCTCGTGGCTCTACTTCGAAGCTGCCACAGCTCCACGATAGATAAGAGAGAAGCACAGGGTAGGTAGGCAGGGACTCACAGGTGATGTAGTAATCATGGTGCTTTTTGAACTCCAGGCCCATGTAGTTGGGGCTGAACTCCTGGAACTTGATGGTGAAACGGATTTCCTGCTCTGGCCGGTTGCAAGTGACCAGCACATATGGGTCAAGCACGGTGCTGCAGGCGGCTGCCTGCTCAGGCCGGACCAGGTACAGCTTGTAGTATTCGTAGGGCCGCCCAGCTTCTGCTCGGGGACAGATGATGTCCAGCTTGTCTCCGATCTTTGGGTAGATCACCAGGCCCTTCCCACTCAGGAATCTGTCCAGAAAGGGGGAGACAGTCAGCCTCAGAGTTGGGGGGCCCAAGCCATTCTGGAACCACAGGAGTGGACAATAATGGCCAGGCTGGGCTTACTGGGTAGAGAGGGTGAGAATAGGCATTCTGTCCTTCCTCCATGCTTAGGCTGGGGGTGGGGAGAAAGAACCACACTGCCAGCAGGGTGTGGAATGATTGGCCCATAGGCAAGGCTACCAGGCTTAGACAACTTGGCAGGGTAGGGCACTGCCAAGCTGGGGGAGCCCTTTGTCCTAATGTGGCATTTCCGTAGGGGGCTGACGTGGCTGATGGGCTGGGTACCAAGGTGTCAGGCCTGGGCTGCTTGGAGATGGCAGCCCTATTCTCCCACCCCCAAAACACTCACATTCCTTTATAACCATGACTACCACCTCCCCTGCATGTGTGTGCACTCACATGACCATGTACATACATACACACTCCAAGTCCACACATGCCTTAGCCACCAACCCTGCAGCTCCCAGCCATTGGCCAGGGGAGCTCAACCTGTCTGGGACCCATGTCTTCTCCCCCATCTTTGTTAATCTTGGGCATGATAAAGAGATAGGGACAGGTATTACCTGGAGCCCAGGGGCAATGGACACAGTTTCTGTTCAGGTGCAGCTCCACAAAGCTTTCCCAGCTTCCTACTCCTATTGCCCAGTGTCCTCCCAGAGCCCCATTCCCATAATGCAAGAGTCTGAATCTCCAAACTTGATCAGGCTCACTCCTAAGAACAGAGGGAAGGGACAAAGTGCCTAAGCAGGGACAACAGATCATCCGTGTTCTAATCCCCCAACATCCACACTGCTCCTGCTCCAGATCCTGAGAAGACATGGGCACCTATCTCCTGAAGCAAGTTTATCTGATAATCCAGAAGGCCAGGCAATAGCAGCTGGGGGAATAGCAGCTGGAAGGCAGCTGCCCCTGTCTAAGCACACAGGAATAGAGTGCCACTCTCTTGCTGGTTCTGAGCCTGGGAGAGCTAGAGCTGGGAGAAAGGCATGTAGGAGAAAGACAAGACTTTGGAATTGGACAGTAAGGATCTGATTGCCTAGATGAGCTGCTGGATCTCCCTGAGCTCAGTCTCCTCACTGATCAACTAGGGGTAGGAAGGTCTTGCTCTACCCCCCACTCCCAGGGTTGTGGTGGGAAGATCCAACAGCATGTGGAGGGCACCTAACCCACAGTAGGCACTCAATATATTTGACTCCTGCTTAGATATAGTCTCATTTACCAAGAGGCAGGAGCCCAGATACCACTCCCAAGTTCCAATGAACCCAGTCTTGTTTCTTGGGGAGCAGAGAGGGGCTGGGATAGGAAACAGAAGATAACGGCCCCATTCTCAAGGACTTTATTGTCTGTCCGGTGTCTGTCTGGGTCAGAAAAGAAAATAGCTCATGCTCTGGTGTGGTTCAAACAGCAAAGGTTGGAGGCAGTAAGAGAGAGAGTGGACAGCTGGTCTGAGATGGGTCCACAGAAGCAGCTAGAGGAAAGTGGGGCCTGGGTGAGCAAGGATAAGTTGACACAGGCAAGAGGGCATGACAGTGGCTGGGACAGTTTATCCCAGGGCTGACAGGAAGGCCTCGAGGGTCACAGCAACATGGGTTTCATCCCGTTGGAGTCAGTCCTTCCAGCAGGAAGGATTGAAGGGCTGAAGGCAGTGCTTCCAGAGAAAGAAGCAGACAGTGGAAGAGTGTTCTTCTACTTCCTGAGGGTCCATTGTGGGGATCACAAACACTGAGGGCCTACTGGGAGTCTGGTGTCCTCATTCCAGGGAGGGAAATGATACCCAAGGTGTAGAATAGGGAAACAGGAACAAGCAGATGAAGAAAAGCAGTCGGCCCTCCTTGTCGAGTGAGGTTCCACTGAGCTGGGATCTGCCATCTTGTCTGTGGGCAGGCAAGTAAAAGTAAAAAAGCCAAAATGCGCAGGTCTCCTCTTGAAACCTGACTTTACTGCACTTCAGAGCACCAGACAGGAGCCACTGGGGTGGGGGGTAGGGTGGAGGCCCACAGAAACACATGTACCACAAAAAGCTGTAAACTCTCACCAAAACCTCTATAATTCTCAAGACATTTTTCACTTTCCAATCCTCACACACTGGTTCTACCCAGACAGCACTATTAGACAATTTCTAACATCTTAGAGCCAGAAGGAACCTTCGAGAGCCACAGAGGGAATGTTACCATGGAACAGAGGTGCCCAAAGTCACCTCGAGGAGCCTAAACTCACCCAGGATATGAACCCCTAGGGGTCTCTGAGGACCTAAAACACACTAGCTGAATCCTTGTTCTGCTGTACCCCAAAAGAACGCTATCTGGGGGTGACAGTAGGTATAAAGGGAATGCAAAGGGGTACAGGCCAGCTCACCTTTCTAATCACCAAACCCTGGCTTATGCCCTGAGATGCCTGTCTGATCTAGGCACAATTCCCCATCACCACTCAGGCTCTAGAGCCCCCCAGAACCAGAACACAGGGCATCTAGCTACTCATGGCTCTACCTTGAACCCAGAGACATTGAAGAAACAGATGTCTACATAGCAGATGGGGGAGGGACAAGGAGAGAGGACTATTGCCCCCAACACCCCTCAGACTCTCTTCAACCTCAATGATCAGACTTCATAAATATTCAACAGTTCATTTGCATAGCAGCTGGCAGAGGGAAACTCACCTTCCCCTATAGTGCCAGGAGAGAGAAGAGGCTGATGAGCCCTGCCTTCCCTGACCGACCTTGGTCTTAGCATCATCCCCACCACTGGGACAACAGCTTCTTGGCCTGTAAGAACTCAGGAAAATGGCAAGGGGCCATTAGGGATGAGTATGTAGTCAGCAAGAGAGAAGCCCTGAGCCAGCTACAACACTAGTTATGCTGTGCAGGGGGGGACCCTGCAGGTCTCCCCTTAGTCACCAGGTTGAGAGAAGGGGGAGGAGGGGAAGAGAAATAGATTGTTCCCAAGTGAAAATCTTTATCCCCCACTTTAAAAAAAAACGACTACTCCTCCCATTATCAAGCCAAGTTTTTCTGCCTGGGGCCACCCCCAGACAAAGCCCTTTTCCCCTTTTGGGGAAAGTAAGGCCATTGACTTGGCCCAGCAGGAAGCCTGAAGCAGGTCACCATGGTAACCCCTGAGGTTTACCCTCCTTAGCCTCTGATAGCCCTGGGAACCCAGGAAGCACCCCAGGGAGTAAAAGGACTTGGGGATGGCAGCCCAAGCATTCTGGATCCTGTCTTAGGGCCTGCTTCCCCCCTTTCACCCTAGCCCAAGTCTTCCCTTCAGCCTTCCTTCTGAGCTAAGAGATACCCCCGAAAAGAACACAGGGATAGGAGAAGGCTGAAGGGGCTGGAGCTGCCCCTTCAATTAGTCAGAAGCCAACTGCCCCTCTGCTTCTTTTGTTCCAGTTCAGCCCCTCTCCAGCCATACACATACAGTTGACAGCAGGGACAGCTTGCAGTCACGGTGGTAATACCCAGAAAGCGCCCAAGTCCCACCAGGTCTATACTTGCTTCCCACTCAACCTTCCCTCAGGCTCTAGAAACTTGTGGTGGGAGAGTGGCCATAGGGAGAGTCTGGTCCCAGGCCTCGCCAGCTCAAGTTTAGTAGAAGACTCTTGCCAGTCACAGCTTTGAATATGTGTCCCCAGCATTGCTCCACCTTCACCCCCAGGGTGGCAGGACTAGTAGAGGGCAGACCCCGAGCCAGAGCTCAAGTCTGCTCTCATCCCAGCAAGGGTGGGGAGCCCCCAAATTAAAGGCTCCTCTTTCACTCCCCCAGCTCCACCCAGCCCCAGAGGCAGCAGGAGCAGGCCAGGCGTGTCCCAGCAGTGCCCGCCCAGGCGTGGGTGGGCAGGAACAGCAGCTGGGTCCTGGCACTCACACAGCACTGTCAGAGGCAGGGAAGCCAGGAGAGTCCCAGAGGAAGTCACCCTCCCCACCTAACAGTTGGCTGCCTCTAGTTCAGGTCACCAGAGCAGAATGCTCTCGGAGGGCAGAATTCGATTGGGTAGACCTCACAAAGTCAAATGAGAAGCCAGAGCACTGCTCATCACATGCAGGCAGGGCCTGAGTCACAAGGACAAAAGCACACACACCTGTGAGGTGAGTAGGGAAGCTGGGGGCAGGGAGCCAGATCCTCTTCTCAAAGCCTACCTTGAATTCCCATCTCCTAGATTCCAAGGCAGGAGGATGCCAGACTCCACGCTGACTGACTTTGGACAAGTCATTTTTCTTCGCTGGGTCCCTGCCCTCCTCATCTGGAAAATGGGGGCTATTCCTTCCCAGGGCTGCTGGGAACACCTACTGAGCTCAGATCTAAGGATGCTCTATATGCAGCCAGGTGCTGCCCCAACTGTGAGCATGCCACACACAGCACTGTGGAGAAGTAAGAAGTTCCTTCAACTTATGCTCCTGGCTGCTGGCACCCCCACCCAAAAACACTACCTTGAAACATACCTGGGGGTGAGGGAGCTGCTGTGATACAAAGGCCAAGACAGCCAAAATGTGGTTGGTGAGCACCCCCCACCTCAGCTCCCCTAATTATCACAGGCTGGACCCTTGCCCAAACCTAGTGTTTCTATGGCAACCAGCAGCCTCCAGGCTGACCCACCCCTCTCCATAGTCCCAACCTCCAGAAAACAGTGATGCACAGTAGTACCCAGGGCCCACACATCCCCATCCACCCAAGCTGGGGAGGTAGTGGAAAACCTGGTGATGGGAGAAAGGGAACCCTTGATTCAGCCCTCATCCCAGCATCTAGGACCTTCTGGCCCTGGGCCTCTGGTGGGGGTGGGGAAGCAAGGGAACAGGGAACTTTAGGAGCTGCTGGGTTCCCAGCACTCCCAGACCCCCGCCTGTGGCCAATGAGCCAGAGTAGAAGAGGTCAGGTCCCTAGCCACCATGAGAAAGGGGCCCCCTGAGCTGGCCTCCCCAAGGACTGTGAGCTGGAACAGCTGTGAGGGGGCTGGGGCCAACACTTTGGCTTATAGCAGCCAAGCATGGGTTGGGGTCTGCAGCTGCCCCCACCCATGCTGGATGGAGTCAAGGGTCCTGGATGCCATGTTGACCGTGGCCACCCCACCCCCTCAGAGGGAAAGTGTAATGTGATCTCAGGCACATTCCCACTCTCTGGAGGTGGGGGAACCTGATTGGGGGACAGGAAGGGGTCAGAACAGGACTGAGAGACTGAACTGAAGCAGCTGGACTTGGCTGAGAAGACTCAAGTGTGAGGCCTGCCGGCTGCCCCAAACTCTCAGGGGAAGAGGCTGCGGAAGGGAGCCACCAGGGGACCTTCCCTCACAGACAACCCCCTCCACCCACCCAAGTGCACTCGTGCACACTCTGGTTCCTACCAAGCTGGAGTGGGACCAAATCCACCTTCCCAGCCTCTGCTCATTGGGCAAGTCTGACAAGAGGGCCCAGGGAGGCAGAGGGCCTCACCACCCAGGGATTGCCACCCTGGAAGGCTCCCTCGCCAATTTGGAAAAGGATGGGAATCTTGAGTTGGCCATTATGGTTCCCTTCTCCCAGTCAGTGACCGGGCTGCATGCACCCTGGATTCTGAAAATATCTCCTCTTGCCCCTCCACCTCACTTCTTTATTTTGAATTTTTTTTTCCGAAGGAGGAAGCAATTAAGCACAGTTTATAGGCACTGGGAGATTTGGGGGGGGGTTACCAGCTCCTGACAAGGTTGAGAAGAGACACCAAAAGCCTGGGAGGAGAGGGGAGGGAAGAGAGAAAATGAGCCTGTGAGGGAGAGCACGGGCATGTGCGAGAAACAAAAGGACTTGAGAAAAAGAGGCAGAGAGTGACTAAGAGTGAGAGGGAGTGTGAGAAAGAGGGAGAGCAGGCAAGCTGAGATGGAGAGGGGAGGTGAGCAAGGCTCACAGAGGGTATGGGAGGGCCAAGCAACAAGGACCTGAGAGGTAGAATTCCTGGCAGCCTGCAAAGGAGGAGAGAAAGACAGAAAAGACAGTTTATTTGAAAGGTTGTGGCAGCCCTGAGGGTTGGGCGCGGTGGCAGAGGCAGCCCTCAGAGCTCAAGTCCAGATGAGCTGAGGGAATTGCCTTCCTCTGGCCTGTCTCCCCTCAGCCCCCAACACACGCAGAGGGTGGCTGAATTCCAGACCCCTGAGCCTAGATGGAATCCCAGGGGCGGGGTTAGTGGCATAGTGACTTTAGATCAATCCTCCACAGTTCCCAAGATCTGCTCAATTATAGAATGGAATTTGTGCAGGTCCTTCTGAGTCCTTAGTTACGTCCCACCCTCGCACCAGGATGCTGGCCCCCAGCTTGCAGTGGTTGGGGGGTGGGGAGGGGGAAGACCTCAAAAACCTGTGAACTGGTCCAGAGCACTAAAGGTTCAAAACACAAAAAGGGGGAAGCTTAGATCTTGTTTCTCCCAGCTCCCCACCAATCCCCAACTCTGCAGGAGGGCTCCTTTCCAGCTGTGGAGCTGCCTGCTATCTCTGGTTAGAGACCTAGAGAGCAATTAGGTCACTCCCATGAGCCCCTATGATGGGCTACCCCAGGCGATTTCAGCTCTCCCAGCTCAAGATAGAGCATTTCCAGGCTCCACCCTCACAGGGGGGAGGAGGGAAGGGGAACTGCGCACTTCAAAACCTTTCCCCAGGGGCTGAGTGGCCCAAGGGCCCCAGACCATTTTGAGTTTCTGCTGTTAGGAAAGCACTACACCCAGTTTACCCTTCTGGGTAAGGGAGACATTATTGCCAAGTCCTTTTCTTGTAACCTGGCCCTGATCTAGCCATTCCACTAGACCAGTAAATAGGACCATACCTTAACCCAAGGAGAAAACTAAAGAAGCCACCTTCTCCCACTCAAAGGCTGAGAGATGTACCCTCCTTGGAACCCAAGGGGCCAAGACAGACAGGAGCTGGGGAAGATAGCGGGGATCCCAGCAAGAGTGGACAGGAAGAGATTCCAGATACAGGAAACAGAGAGCATGAACAGGGCAAGGCCAAGGCCCCGTTTTCCACTAATGTGCCTGCACATTGCCAGGACCTCCAGAAACCAGAAAGGAAGAGCAATTTCTGACCCCAAGTTCCAACCCGAGTCCTGGATGTCAAAAAAGAAAAAGGTCCAGAGGTCACCACACAGCTCCAGCCCCAGCAAGGGCTCAGGAAGAGCCCAGAAACCACTGAGCCACCGCCCTGAAAGGTATGTGTTGTTTTTTGGGGGGAGAACAGAAAGAAAAGAAACGATCTTCTCTATGTAGTTGCCTCCCCAATCCCTTGAGGAAAACTAAGCACAGCTACCCTATCTGAGGGCCATAGGGTGGGGAGTGGGGGTGGGCCAATGGGACCAGTCTGGACAAGAATCTTTTGCTCCCCACCCACCTCCTTGGCTGCCACTCTCCACCCAGGCAGGCCCTCTAAGGTCTGTTGCCGGCTTCATTGGACCCCCGACGGGCGCTGGATCGAAACAAGCCCCCCCACACACACACCACTCTCCCACTCCGCCCCTCTCCACCCGCCTTTGTGAGCCTGGGAGCGGAGCCCGCCCTTCCACGGCCCCGACAGGGGAAAAAAAGGGGGGGCTGGAAGAGACCGCAAAGCAAAAAGCTAGGGAGGCAAACAAGGAAGAAAGAGAAATGAAAATGGGAGAAGCCCAAATGGGGATACAGGAGCTGCCACCCACCCTAAGCGCGGAGTCTCGCGCCGCGTTCCCATCTCAGCTTAACAAACGAGGAACCTGTGTTCCGGCCTCGTCCCCCACCCAGGTCAAGCTCGCCCCACGGAGCGACTCTTGGCGAAAACCGCCACGTTCCCAGGGGCCCCAGAGGGGCTGCGTTCTCTTCTCCACCCAGCTCTCCGGTGCGCTCTGGAGCGCCCGGACTCCCAGTTCCGCCAGGCGCGACCATCTCGACTTATTCCCGGACATTCAGGGGAAGAGGATCGGGTAGCTGAGAGGTCTTCACCTATTTTAAGTGCCCCAGCCCAACCCTCTGCACCCTGCCCGCCCTCCAGCATAAAACATTCGAAAAGGCCAGAGACAAAATGGGGCGCCGCTCCTCCTCTGAATACCTTCCCACTGGCACTCGGGGCGCGTAGCCTCACCCCGGAGGAGTGCCTTCCACCCCAGGGACCAAACAGAAGTTACTCACTTGGGGTTGAGGGAGCTCCAGGACACGGGCTCCAGGTTCTTGGCCAGTGGCGTGGCGAGCCGGCACAGCGCCAACACGACCATCGCCACAAGCCACTTGCTGAGCCAACGTTGCCCAGGCCGGGCCATCTTCCCGGGAGCAGGCTGCACTTCAGGATCCCCTGGCGCCTCCTCACCAAATCTCTCCTCGCCTTCTCTTGCCGAGTCGCTCTCCTCGCCACTCAGGCGCCCATCTTCCGCCACCGGCCTTGAAGTACTCCCCTCCCGCCGGCTTCTGTGTCGCTCTTCTCCGCCCGGCCGGCCAGGCGGACTCACTAGGCAGCCGCCCCCAACCCGGGCATGGGCTGCGGCCTCCGAGGGCTCGCTCCTCTGGCCTCTCTGCCGCACGAGGCGCGACGGGGGCTCTGCGCCCCCCGGTGATCCCGCCCGATTCCGCTCGGCTCCCCGATATCGTTCGGGACTGCGCGCCCTCTCCTCGTCGGGGGCTCCCCACTGAGGACTCGGTGGCTGCCCTGACGCCTTGACTGTCCCAGGATCGGCACCCCTGGAAAGAAGTGGGAGTCTCCCCACAACTCGTACTGAGTCCGGGGGCTCCCCTCTGGGTCGCCCAGGCGCGGGTTCTGTTCCTCCAGGCCACAATGAGACTCCGGGCTGCGCCCACCCCACCCCCAGCCAACCCCTTCGACAGCTTCTACTTCAGCACGGGCCCCACTCAGTGTACTTAGAAGAGAGGAGCGACGCTGCCAAATGAGCCAGTCCCATCGGTTTGCGCCGCTGAAGCCTCGGCCGGGTAGCCGGGCAGCCGGGTCGCTGAGTCCTAGCTCCCCCGCGATTGTGCCCGAGGGTCTACGGCCCGTGCGAGGCTCACACACCTCCAGCCGGCAGCCAGCGCGCATAGACTCCCTCTGCTGCCACTGAGCTGTCTACTCTCCTGCTCAGGCGAACGCAAGGCCAACCCTATTCCGCTCAGCCAATAGCAAGCTCCGTCACGGGGTCCTTGCCCCGTGCCACGCCCCCAGAACAGGAAGGGGGCGGGGTTTCAGGAAGCTCTTAAGGACGCCTCGCACTCGATGATACGGATTTGTGTGTGCGGCTCCTGTGGTTAGGACTGGGTACCCCGTAGTCCTGTTCCCAGAGCGCTCATCCTGTGGGAAGCTGGCGCTTCTCTAGAACCGTCGGCTAGGCCTGTTCTTCTCCCCTCATGCCTGGTCAACACTCGGCCCGCTGACCTGGGCCAGGCCTGGCCCGAAATCTCCCGGGAAAGTACAGCCATTCGCTCTTTCCGCACACACGAGCCCCGAAGTCCTCCTCTGTGCCCACCTATGTGGCAAGGCTATCCCGTTGCTCCCAGTCCTGTCTCAGATAGGCCTCAAATGGGCTTTACGCCTTTTGCCCTCGAATGGCAGTGTGCGCTTTTACTGGGAGCCGGCCTCCTGAATACACAGGCGAATAGTGGTGGGCAGTGGATTCTCAGAGGGGTCAAGTAGGGCAGGGTGGTGGTGGTGGTAGGGGATTTGAGTTCTTTGGCCCTGGGGAGCAGCAAGTCTTAAGAGTCTCAGCTTTGAAGGAGAGCCTTGTGGGACCCCAGAAGCCCAGATTTAGAGTTTTGTTCTATCTGAAGGTGCAGGCAAGGAAGCGCCTGGGATAGACCAGCAGGGATGTGAAGACACCTAGATAAAGACACCTCCAGGGCAAAGAGGAAAAGACTCAGGGTAGGCGCCTTTGAAGCAGCCAAAGCGGGCGCCCTAGCTCCAAGACGCCGGACTCCAGCCCCTCCTGGACTCGCCATCTGGGTCTTTGTCTCCCAGTCCAGGCTCACTCTCCCCGCCCCTCCTCATTTCCTTGATTATAACTTTGGCTCCATCACATAGCTCAGACCCACCCGGTCCAACCCGCTCTCCGTGGTCGGACCCTAACAGACTTACCCACGTACTAATGTCTCCCCCTACTGGTCTCCGTTACCACTGCAAGTGCTTGGAACAAACTGGGAGTTCGCACCCCAACTGGAGCATAGTACACAAAAGCCAGGCATAAATGCTCAAAAACAAGACCATAGATGGCGGTGGTCGTCTTCACAAGAACCGTGGCCAAGTAGGGGTAGGAGGTATGTGTAGGGGCAGGAAAGGCACAGTGCAGGTTATCTATATCCGAGCAGACGGGGTAAAGGAGGAGTCCTAGAGCCCACGGTGGGTTTCTCAAGCTTTTATTGAGCTTTACATGCATTGCAACAACCAGGTAAACGTCAGGCAGGGGTGCCCGGTTAGGCCTCCTCGCCCCAGGCAAGTCTTCACTCTGGGCTTTCTCTGGCCTTCTTTCTTTCCTTCTCTCTCCTGCTTCTCTCTTGCTTCTCTCCCTGACTATCTCAATACTCCTCCCATGGCCCACAGCAGTAAACAAGTCAGTTTACAACAATGTAACAACTGCAGGTGCCCCATCAGGCAGGGCAATCCTAAAGGTGGGAGGGCAGAAAATCCTGGAAACCATTTACCCCATAGGATGGATTTGGGGTAGGCTTTCGGACTGCCCAGCATGTAAAGTCTCCTTGCTGCTTGGCTGTGGAGTGGACTTGTATTGGGAGGAAAATAGAAAGGGAGAAGCTGGGCCACTCCCATTTTAGGTACAGGTCCTCTAGGGTGAGGTGGATCTGGGTAGATATGGAGGAGGATTTATTTAAGGTCTCTAACTCCTTCCTGGGCCCCTTATTAAGGTGGAAGCGAGGACAAATGAGAACAAGGTGCAAGGGCACAACCCAGTGTGGGGGCCTGGATGCCCCAAAGTGCAGCAATGCCCAAGTAGGCAGAGCAGCCTGCCACTTACTGAGGGCCTACTATGCGCCAAGAACAATATTAGATGTGTTTCCATTCATAGTCCCTTTACGGTGAGTTCTACTCTTCCCATTTTACACAGGGGGAAACTTATGGCAGGGGAAGAGACTCATCTGAGGTCACCATGCTGATTGGTGGTAGAAGCAGGATTTGATGCCAGGCTTGTCTGTCTGCAAGGCCTATGTCCATTCTCCTATACCAAATTGAACTGCCACATTTCCAGCCGCTTCTTGCTTATTTGCTTCCTTACTTTATTCCTGGTTAAAAGCTGGTTAACGCCTGGAAAATAGCAGCCTTCAGGATGGCCAGGGCTCTCTCTACTCCACTCAAAATCTTTCAGGAAGTTACAAAGCCTGGGAAAGTTCATTTGCGGTCCTGGCCAAAGCCCCAAGTTCCCAGCTAGAATCACCACTGCTAACCCCAGAACCACAGATGGAACTGTCAGCATGCCCAGTGCCTCTAGGGAAGGCAAGCCCAGGTCCAGATAGGTGGCGGAGGAGACCAGGTTATACTGGCAGACTTGTGAACCCTAGGAAGACAGAAGCAACTACTGAGTGTGCCAACACCTAACCCTGGATGGGAGGGAAGTAGAGGAAATAGTGGAGGATTCTGTGTATAGGCCTGCTCCATGCACTGGCCACCTCTGGACATGACACAGACCTTTTCTGCCTCAACATGTCTGCTGCACCAGCTGCAGGGGCCTGGGTAGCAGAACTGGGCCTGCTCCCTGCCAGCTGAGGCCCTGATCTCCTGCTCCTCCTCTCCCAACCACAGGGCCTCAGATGTGGTGATTCAGCCCCCTTAGGCAGGGAAGAAGTACGCCCTGGGGTGAACCTAAAAGGAAGTCAGCATCTGTGAAGGATGTGGTTCCCCTTTTATCCAATTGCTCGCTCCCTCCTCTGGCCGCAGCCATGCCTCCCAGACCAGTGTCACTGAGCACATTTAATCCCTCAGGGTTCAAGTCCACCAAAGTTCCTTGAGCACCAATCTTACACCTTAGCCCTGCCTTTGAGGAGCTGCAAGCAGGTTGAAATCAATATGTGAGGGCCTCTTGAACCCAGAGATGCAGAAGAACACCTGGCAACTGCAGGAGGCCTCAGGAATGATGCAGTCTCCGGAGAGCTATAGAGCAGCTCCTTCTGAACTCAGCTTCCCATTGCCATACAAAAAAAGGAGGTGGGAACTTCAGAGTCACACATTTTACTGCTTAGTGAAGCTCCTTGGGCAAGTCACTTTACTTCTGTGGGCTTCAGTTAACTCATCTGCAACCTGGACATCATCACTCATTTTCAGAGCCGTGAGGGATGAATGAGATGATGCACAGAAAGGGCTTAGCATCATGCCTGGCCCACCACAGTGCTTACCAAATGGAAACTATTATTCTTCCACAGAGCCTCCCACAGAGACACCTTCATTCCTGGTCGCACACATTCTCACCCGCTTACACATGCTCAGTGTGCCACGTGCACATTTTTTTTTAGCTCCTCCTCACGCACATACATACATATTCATACACAAGCATTTGGGCTTTCTCCTACCTATTCACCCGACACCAGCTGGCAGGCCTTGTGCCAGCCATTGTGGCTCTTGGAGTCCAGCCCCCACATTTCTTCACGTCACTGTCACACACATGCATGAACATATATACACCCCCTCTCTATTTCTGGGGCCCTTGTCCTGGACCTCCCCTTGCCTGCCTGTACTCTGAGATAAGACGTGAACTAGCTCACCTAAGGCCACACAGCCTGGAAGTGAAGTCAGGATTGAAATCTACACTATTTGACCACACAACTCGCACTTCTGATTGTGACTAGATGCCCACATCCCAGGGCATGGCAAAGGTGCTCGTGCCAAAGGGTGGGCCTTGTCCACCAAAGTGTCAGGGAGCAGAAAGTCTAGCATGAGACCCAAGAGGATGCTAGTTGGGACAACCCAGTGAGGCTCACTCTCCTCTCCACAGTCTCCAGTCTGGCCCCTGCAAATCCCACTGCCTTCACAGATGCATACAGCCACTGCCCACAGGATGAAGGCTGGTTGTACTTCATGAAACCCGACTGTATGCCAGGCACAGTAGTGGTGTGCTGTCACCCTTGGAGCATGATTGTCTTTGTTTAATGCTCACATCATTCCTGAGGTTGGTATTGATAGGCCTATTTTAGAATTGAGAAAACTGAGGTACCAGGCTGAGTCTGGCTGCCTTCTGTGTCCTTGCCAAGCTCAGCCTGCAAAACACAGTGATTTATTCTTGCCACCCCCTTCTTTGCCCTTCATGCTAGTCATTCTGTCCTCACTGCTTCCTTGCTGAGGTCTGTTGGTCTGTTGGTCTGTTGGGCTCAGCCTGTCCTCCCACCCCCGCAAATGCATGCTTTTCCCAAGTCACTCTATCCCTGGGTCAGTCTCAGGGAAAGGCCAGGGCGGGGCCTCCTGAGCTTTCCCAGTCTTCTTCCTCCCCACCCTTCTGGCTGTACCACACTCCAGGATTCGGTCAGATCTAACCCCAGGAGAGGGAAGTTCTGTGAAGCTAGTTTCACCGCAGTTATGACAATTTCCTGTGGCTAGGGAAGGAAGGGGCATCCCCAAAGGCCAAAGACTCAAGAAAACTCTCAACTCCCAGTCCCTGCCCCAAGCTTCATGCCTGCTTTATGGTGTTTGCAGTGATATCACCTTGATTTTCCAGGTACCAGCATGGCTCTGAGTCAGGCTGTTGGCAGGAGGACAACAGTGACAAGGAGCCATTTCTTCTGACACAGCCTAGTCCCTGTCCTCCTTATTCCTTTCTTATAAAACCTAGCCCTAGCCTGGACTCCTAGAAACATGTCCAAAACCCTCAGGCCCCACTCAAGCAAATGGCCTGTCCCTGCCCCCGACAAAGGCCTAGAGCAGGCATTGGAAAGCCAGAGCTTGGTGGCAGCTGGGACCCTGGGCTCCTTAGAAGCCCCATCTTTGGACATCCCTGCCCTCCCATGTGTCACTGATCTAGGCTCATCTTCCTTTGCCTGTCTAGCCCAGGGCGTGGGAGAGGGGCAGTGTAGCGGGCTAAGCCTGCAGCACTCCAGCCTGATCTACCTGTTGTGCTCTCTCTCCAATTACCTG